TTCAAACTGTCCAATTGCCAACAGTACACATTTGAATTGATTGTTTGGTTCCTTGGTAGGAGCTCAAAAAACACGACACCTTTAAAATCCCACCACACTGAGAGAATAACCTTCCTCTGATGAATGTCTGTTTTCCATGTTGTTTGAGGCGAATCAGCACGTCGGGACCAGGACCAAGACCGTTTGCGCACCACATTGTTGTAAACAATCCACTTCTCATCACCAGCTATCAGTCACTTCAAAAAAGGATCGTTATCCTCACGTTTAAGGAGCATATTGCACCGTCAAATGATTATACGCACCGTCAAATGAACTTCTTTGAGTTCATGCGGAACCCAAATATCGAGCTTGCTTACATATTCCAGCTTCTTCAGATGGTCGTGAATGCTTGAATGATGCATGTTCAATGTTTCTGCAATCTCTCGTGTTGTGTAACGTGGGTATGACTCAATCAACGCCTTTATTTTGTTGTCAACAACCTCGGTGGGCCTCCCTGACTGTGGAGCGTCATTGAGATAAAAATCACCACGGAATTTCATGAACCATCGTCGACACTGACGTTCTTGCAGAGCATTGTCATCATAAACTTTATGCAACTTTTCACAAGCCTGATGCGCATTCTTCCCTTTATGGAAGTAAAACAGTAAAATATGGCAAAAATGCACAGTTTGGTCTTCTATCTTCAACTTGTTGTAAAATCTCCAAAACTCAATCAAATCACTCATTTTTTTTTTAGAATGAAGCTAGAACAGTCAGCTGTCAAATGGCATAGCAATAACATAGATGCAAATGACTCTAGTACTTCCAAAAAGAAACTAGTGCCATCTGTTGCAAACATGCATCATGACTTTTCCGACAACCGAATACATAGTAATACATAACTAAGCCTAGCACAGGGCATTGACTTAAATATATACTTAATCAGATGAATACATTGATATTTGTCCCAAAGACATTTTTTTAAAGGTTTTATTGGGGGAATTGGGGAAGGGGAACAGCCAAGTTGTTGTCCTTCGATCTTAGTTGTGGAGCTCTTCTCCAAGTTCAGTCACCATCCAGCCACCTGATGGCAGCTCAATGGCTGCTCAGCTCCAGGTGACGTGTTCAATCTTAGTTGTGAGTGGGCATAGCCTACTATCCATGAGGGAGTTGAACCGGCAATCTTGTTGTTAGGAGCATGTGCTCTCACCAGCTGAGCTATCTTGCCACCTATTGGCAGTTCAGTGGCAGCTCAGCTTGGGCACAGCTCACTGGCCCATGTGGAAATAGAACCTGTAACTCTGTTGCTCAGAGCGTGCACTTTTTATTTTTTTTAAACTGGGGAATTGGGGGATGGGAACAGCACTGGGGAATTGGGGGAAGGGGAACAGACAAGTTGCTGTCCTTTTGTTCTTCAGTCTAGTTGTGAAGGATGTTACTTCACTGGCCCAAGTTGGCACCATCATTGCGCTCTTCCCAGGTGAGGTAGATCAGTCGCCAGCTTCTGGATGGCCGCTCACTGCGGCTGCTGGCTACGCACAGTAGCCCATGGCAACCCACTGCAGCAGGAGCTACAGCCTACGCCGTCACCGGCGACTCACAGCAGCCCAGCTCCAGGTTGAGCTGTTGTTCAGCATCTTAGCTGTGTCACTGGCCCTCATATGTGGGATCCGAACTGGGCCCCTTTGGAGCCCCAAGCCAGCTCTTAACCATCACGCCACTCGGCCAGCCCAGAGCTCACACTCTTAACCAACTGAGCCACTCAGCCGGCCCCCCAAAGACATTTCTTTTTTTCCAAGTTTTCTTTAAATATTTCTTTGGGGGAGGGGATACCACACTTCTCAGTGAAGAGAAATAGTAACAATACAGAGATCTTTTATTTTTTTACACCTATGACATGAATTCATAGGGAATGGGTTCCAGCAGCTCAGGCTCCTTTCCGTTGGTTCTCACCAAGTGTGCTTCTCTGGGTAGGGCAGGCTGGCGTTTCAGTTGAACCCAAGTACCTTTCTCTTTGGCTTCCTTCTTTTTCTGATCATTTTCCTTCACCCGTTTCAGGAAGTTGTCTTGGCTCTTAGAGTGCTTAATATGTTCAATACAAACGTTAATTGTCTTGGCAAGAATCTTGCCCTTAACTTGTTTGTTTACAACAATGCCAACTGCATGCTGGGTAACACTGTAGATTCTTCCAGTTTTGCCATGGTAACATTTGTGGGGCATTCCTTTTTGAACAGTGCCCATTCCCTTGATGTCTGCAATATCACCTTTCTTGTAGATTCACATGTATGTGGCCAAAGGAACAACTCCATGTTTTCTAAAAGGCCTAGAGAACATACAGTGGGTGCCCCTCCTCTTCCCCTTTGTGTTGGTCATCTTGACGAATTACTGGAAGATGGTGGTCCCGGCCAAAAAGCCAAAGACATTTTTTTGAAGTACTTTTTTCTTAATTGAGGAAGAATGAACCAATTCTATAATAAATATAAGTGTTGTTTCATAACAAATTAGACCTATACAATGATGCTATTAAATCATTTTGGCCAAAAAGGCCTTATTTAAGCCAGAAGTTTTCAATTGGATAAATTCTTCGAAGATATTATTTTTTAAATTACTATATTGAAAATTAGAATTTATATTTCTGTATAGTTATTTTTTTAAATGTTGGTCATTTTTTGCTGTATAGCCTATACTTTAATCCAAATCACTCTCCTCACTTTTCTTGCTACTGTTCCCCATTCCAGTGACCACAAGTAATTAATGATATTACAATTCTTTAGTATTTTTAGCAATATTTTATAATCAACATCTGTAATTTAACAAATATGTTAAGTTTAATTCAGTGTTTAATGTCAACTTTTGGGATAATTATGATTTTCAATAAGTCATGCACGAATTAACTGACTCTGTATTTAGAGTTTATATTTAAATTTTTCAATTCACTTAAAAATGCATGGTAATTGTCATCCAAAAAAAACAAAAAACAGAAAACATCTCTAGGTTCTTTGCTACCCTACCATTTAACTGTTTAGAAAATACACAAACATTTCTAGAAAAACGAATGCAAAGACATTATTTTGATAATGTTAAGAACAGGGGTGGGGGTGGGGGAGAAGGAGCTCAGAATATGCAAGATATGCAAATGAGCTGCATTCTTGTAATCATCTAACACATATTTTGCTCGTGAGCACATGCTTAAGGAATCATATTCTTCAGCACTGAAAACACTTAATATATTACTTACTGCCTAGGAGAGAATTAGGTACTGATAATATTAGCAACAAATAGAAAATCCAGGGAAATAGCTCGTAATGTTACTCAACATACTTAATACTAATGTTTTTAGCCTTTTAGAATAATTTAGAAGAGTGATAGAACAATGATCTTCAAAGTAGGGGCCCATATTCTAGGGGTACAGAAAGACAAGATAACCCATTGGGGTACAGAAAGAAAACATTAGAAATTCTATCGAAATTTTAAATTTATACTTAAAGTCTTTTTACTTTGGTGTACATTTACAATAAAAAGAATATTTTGATGCAGTAGTAAATGCATATAATATAACAGAAACGTACATATATTAGCAGTGTTGTTCTTTGAAAGTTTTTATTTTTGGGGTATGTAATCCAAAAAGTGTGGAGACAGCTGTTTTAAAGATTACTCACTTATTAATTGAAGACTGGAGGCAAGTTGTCAAATAATAATTAAAAAGCAGCCAGTTCAGTGGTTTCTCCAATGATTCCGAGCAAGCAAAGGTATTCCAACCGACTGAAAAAGTTGCAGCTGCCTTCAAAGGAGTTTTTGGCCCAATTTTGCCCAGGTAATTCAATAGCAGCATTCTAAAATAAAGAGAAACAGCAAACTCAGGGATGAAACTGTTATAGCTCTCAACACATCCCATTTCTAATTATGGGCTTTATAAACTATGGAGAAGAAAAATACAAACCAGTTTTTAAACATTTTATCTTGGAAAAGCATGCAAGTATCTTCATTCTTACTTTGCAATCAGATACTTATTTATCTTGCAGTCAACAGCATTGACTGGGACAAAGCATACGGTATTACTTATATGTGTATTGTTCTATGAAGTAAAACAGGAGAGAACGCTACCATAAGAGTGGGTTTGTTTTTTTTTTTTTCAAAATGACATTGGAGATTTAAAATTTTGCAAATCACTGTGCCCTAGCCTCCAGTTGAATGTTTAATATGTGAGGGGTGTTTCAGGCAAAGTTTTTCTATCAAGGGCTACATAGTAAATATTTGGGGCTTGGGGAGCCCTATAATCTCTGTTGCAATTACTTGACTCTGCAATTGTAGTTTGAAAGCAGCTGTAGACAATATATAAATAAATAGACATTGCTGTTTTCCAATAAAACATTACATGCCGACATTGAAGTTTGAATTTCATATAATTTTCAAATGTCGTGAAATATTATTCTTCTTTTGTTTTTTTTTTCAATCATTTAAAAATATAACCATCCTTAGCACTTAGGTTGTACAAAAACAGATAGCTGGCCAGATTTGGCCTGCAGCCTGTGGTTTTCCAACCCTTGACATAGAAAACAAGAGCACAGAAGGAGTGGGTTTCAAATGTGGCTGCACATTAGAATCATTTGGGGAGTTTTTAAACCTATTATGGATGTCTGAGTGTCACCCCCAGAGATTCTGAGGAGTCAGTATGGGTGGCCATTCCAGTTGCCCGTACATCCTTGCACCCTATAGCAAGTCTCTAAAGGGTTCCCTAGTTTAGAGAGTTAGACTTTCTAGATTGTAACCAAGCAATTGGCCCCTAAAGTAACTAGTTTTCTCTTCTTACTCTTTCCTGTTATTTATCCTTATCTCCTATCACATATTTTCCTCCTTTCTTGTTGTTCTGTGAATTTTCTTGATTCTACCTTAGTTCTATTTTTGTTAAAGGTACAAAAATGGAGTTTAATATAATACTAATATCAGAAATCTAAGTTTAACATCGCCATCTAAGAGAAAGGATGATATCCTAAATTCTACTTCTCATTATAGTATTTTCCGCTATTTATTTCTCTAATTGCCCAGGTTCTGAATTAGGAGAAATGGGTAAAAATTCTCATTCTTTTTTCCAACCTAAATAGCTTGCAGAGTGAATGTGATGAGGTTTTAGATTAAAAAAATGGAGATTTCATTTTAGAAAATGACTCTTCATAATGACTATATTCCTCTTTGTATACATCACTGTGGCTCACTAAGCCATTTAAAGGATTAATGCTTACTCTCCAGCAAAGGGTTCATTCCAGGGTCCTAGTTTTGGTGGCCCTATTCTTTGGCTGGAGGTCAGAGATTTCTGGGAGGCTGGTATAATGGGCAAATTGGAAGAGGTGGAAGAGAAGCTCTCATGAGTAGGAAGGACCAGGAGTAGCTATGTCCAAGTAGGTGGGGATACTTCTTGGTTATTACTCAGGAGCAAAACAATGTCAAGGGTTGTTTTACTTTGACAGAAAAATGACACCATTTTTTTCATCAAAAGAAAAAATCTAAAGAGAGAGAGAGAGAGAGAGAGAGAGAGAGAGAGAGAGAGAGAGAGAGAATCTATGGATTAAGAGACTTAAAAGGCATATCAATCCCAATGAATGTATATACTTGATCTGGCTCCCGACTCAAATAAATGATAAAAACAGGCCAATTAACAAACAAATTGATGAATGGGAAAATTTGACAATGACTAAATATTTGAGAACATTTGGGAATTATTGTTAGTTTTGTTCAGGTATCATAATGGTATTGGGTGTTTGGTTTTTTTAAAGAGACTTACCTTTTAGAAATACATGAAGTATTTATAAATGATATCTGAGATTTATTTTAAAATAATCAGAATTGAGAGGGATGGAGAATGATTATCCATAAGTCGATAATTACTGAAATTAGGTGTTGAGTATATATGGGGGATGATTAACTCTTTACTTTTATACACTATATTTGTAACTTTCTATACACTTTTTAAAGGTAGTTTACCAATTCATTGGGAGATTTGAATATGACTGGGTCTAGAGCAGAATGAGTTCTTTGGCTAGACTCAGTTCTGGTTCAAAGCCCCTATTTAGTTCCAGACACCACAGCTTGGGGATTACTCCAGTATGGGAGTTGGAGGAGGGACACTAGGCATAAGGATCTTGGACAGACGCTTTTGTCTGTTGCATTCCAAAAGAAAAAATGTGTCAAGCTGTAAAACACATCCCAAGTGGTAAACCAACTTGGGAACGTGTCACACTGCTAGGCAACTAGAAAGGGTGTTTCCTTCAAACAATTTACAAGACATTAATATTCAACCAGCTGCAAAGGCTAACGGTCAGGTTCTGCCTTCAGGCACTGAGGCTTCAATGCAGCATGAATAGGCATTTCCCAGAAGCTTCTGAATAGAGAATCTGGGCCTGTTTATGTAAGGTCTGGCCTTAAAAAAGTCAAGAATTTATAAGATTAAGGGAAAAAAATTCAGCTGGCACCCTGTCCCTTTAGGTTCACATTATGGGGCAAAGGAAAGAGAAGCAAAATGCTGTCCATTAAGCACAATTCAGAGATTCTGCCTGAGTTTTCTGCACTGATTCAGACATATTTCTTCCTTTAGTAGGTCAAGTCAGACCTTCCATGCTAATTTAAGAAACGTATTCTTTTCTTCTTCGTTTATGTTTATCAGAATTTAAAAAGGAGGTTGAAGCCTATTTTTAAGAGTCTATCATTTTTAAAAGCTGTTCATTTTCAAGTAAATATACTCTGAAGATGTTTTAAAAATTGAAATGACAGATAAGTTAATTACAAAATTAAGAAAAAAATACCATTTTCCACTTCATGTCTTTGTTTTTTTTTCTTTCTTTGTTGATTTTAAAAAGTACTTTGGAACAATGGTTTAGAGAATCTAAGCATAGTAAAATGCCAGATCATAAAAATTTTGGATTTTATTAAGCTCAATATCACTAAAAATATTGGGTTGTTGGAAAAGTCATGATGCATTTTTGCAACGAAAAACATAGAAAAATACATCATGACTTTTCTGACAACCCAATATATATATCTAAACATTATTAGTAGAAATGAACCTAAATATATACATGGCATAAAAGTTCCAAAAAAGCCCCAATATAATTGTAAGAAAAAAGCACAAATTATGATAATATTCATATGCTTAAAATAGCAGCTGGAGTAGGGAGTTAACAACAAAATGTCACAGTTTCTTGAAGAGCATTCCAGGGGAGGTCCATTTACCCAGCAACTAAACCAAACTCAACCAAACCAACCAAACAGAACCACTACCTGGGAAAAAAGTTTTTGAAGACCTCTTGAGTTGGAGAGAGAGCAATAAGTGATTATTTTTATGAAAAAGTCATGCTACAAATTCAGCTTCTTGAGTGTTCCAGGAGAACGCAGGTATAGGACCAACTGGGAGTACATCAGGGAGACTGAAGGTCAACATGGCAGCCACCGAGTGATGGAAATCAACTTCATGGGGTTCAGACAAGCCATTATGCTCACAAAAACCCGAGTAGTCAAAGGAGAGGTACTTGTATCCTTTTCACCACAGAGGCCAGTAGTCAAGGAAAACATTAAAATTCACCTGAATTAATTCCTCCATTCAATCAACCACATGTGGTAAAATATGATAAAAATAATCACACGTTTATTTTTAAATGTCTATGTAGCTTATAGTCCTCTGAAAGAGGCATTTGGTAAGACCACTTCCCTCAGACATTTTAGAAAGGAGAAACCTTACCCTCCCATTGAAACCCCTGCTGCCAGGAAAGTTGCAGAAGGGTACAGACTGTGTACATGGTGAATAACTGTCTCCAAATCTTCAGTGTTAGCACAACAGTAAGTCCTTGGCGTCTACAAGAAGTGATAGGTAAAACACAAAATTTAAAATTGTGAGGTTAATGATTTGAATAATGCAGAAATGTAAAAAAAGATCAAGAAGTCATAATAAATATGAGAAAATAACCTTTGTTTATACATACTATAATAAAAATCTATAATTTTCCTAACTTGCAATACACATATATGCCATTTAAAGTCAATGTTGTTCGGCTTGGTACTGACAAAAAGGCTGATCGTGCAAGGAAGGCTTGACAGAAATGGGCAATACCAATACAAATACCTTAAATTAAACAATAATGCAGTACCTTACTCAGATGTGACTC